GTCTCCGAGCAACACAGTGTTTTGTTTCTCAGCATTACACGGACCAGTAAATGGTTCAAACAGGCTATAAGTACAGTCGTTTGCCAAGTTAAATGAATTAACATTTTAAACAAATCGCTTGATTTATGGATTCAACTCACTCATTAAGACTTAGTTGTTGTTGATCTCTCAACTGAGAGATCACATCCTGTTTATTGTATTATTGTATTATAGTGTTATATTAAATCTATTATAGATTTAATATTACATCTAAACTTTGACTAGGCTAGACATGTTGCCTATTAATTGTATACAGTATATGAACCTGAAAGGAAAAAAAACAGTCAACTACCCCTTTAAAAATACAAATAAATACATACATTTCATTCACACGGACAAGCTACACAACATATCTGATCATTACCAGCTCAGGGCTCATTAATAATGACTGTCTGGCCAGAGAACAGTGTGAAAGACGAGAGAACTGTCACCGCACCTATCAGCGAGTGCACCTTCTGTGTCGTTGCCCACAACGCTTCGGTGACAGGACTTTGAAATACCAAACAGGGAAAAAAATAAAAGGCATGACTTATTTCGCATCCAGCTAGCCAACTCTGTTAAAGCTGTTGTCATAGCCTAGCCCAGGGGTTCTCAAACCTCTCCATGAAGTACCCCCTAGCACTGCACGTTTTGTATGTCTCCCTATATCTGACACACCCACTTCAGGTCTTGCAGTCTCCACTAATGAGCTGATGAGTTGAATCAGGTGTGGTAGATGAGGGAGACATACAAAATGTGCAGGGCATCCAGCTAGCCAACTCAATTGTCATAGCCTATGATTTTTATTAGAATAGAAAATAGCAAGGGTCCATAGAAAAATACTGTTGTACGTTTTTTGCTCCGGGGAAGCTCAAGAACGCTGGACACACAAGTACTCGGGCTCTTTTGCCCCAAGGCTGCCGAGGCTGGTTTTGCCAAGCCAACATCAAAGTTCGTGTTCGAACTTTAGCTTCTATTTCTATATGTTCTTCTTAAAAAAATACACATAAAATTAATTTGTGATCTTGAAAAGACATATAATTAGGGCTCTTTCATTTGATACAAATGTAACACTGAAAAACTCCGTATAATTAAACAATAGACAGAATAAATACAAGTATATTTCATAGAAATTCTTCAAAATCATTAAGTTACAATAATTAAAAAAGGAGAAACTGGTTGAGTATAGTCTCCATGATTTTGTAACAGAAAAGAAACAGCACCAAAAATATAATGGCCTAAAAGAAAATAATCTATAAGGCATTGTGGTTCATAAAAAAAAAATTAAAAAAAAGACATGTTTTTGTTGATGTGTTGTTTATAGGTTTCTCTGGAACAACCCTACATCTTTGTTATGGCGACGAGTCACGCCCAAAAGCAAACAGTCCTCTTGTGCTTCCCATGTGCTGACATTCCACAGCTTCAGCACAAAAACACATCATGTCATCCATAGGTTTCCATTGCGGACTGCCATCCATAACCTCGAGGCAGGGCCGTGACACCCTCGAACACTGGAGGGGACACATCCACCCAAATGTTCAGTTCAGCAGTAAACCAGTGATTTTCAATAGATGATTCTTAAATGATTACATCTGCTCCCTTAAATCGTGTGTGGTTACATCTTTTGGCGTTCAGATTATCTGAGTGACACTTCTTGAATAACTTGAAATCTTGTCTTTCACATCATGTAGCAGGACATCATTGCCAGGTCCCTAAAGTCTTCATCAGTCATACAATCTGAAAACACAAATGACACATGTTAATTAGTTCTTTAAGGACTCAATTCATGCATTAAAGCCATTCAAACGCACATGCTAGTTGACACGAGGTGAAATACTCACTTCTCCGTACATCCCCGGTGAATTTCTGGCACAGGCGATTAAAACATTTCATCAGGCGTCTTTTACGCGATCTTTGCGGGGGTGAAACTTCTTCTTTTGGTGGGATGGCCGTGTCCCGTTTGGGCTCCTCGGTGTCTTCGTCGTCATCCGCACATTCCTCCGCGTAGCCCGCGGTTACAAGCCGCTCAAAAATGTCCTCGTCTACCGGCAGGGTCTCTTGGATTCTCGCCTCCGACAGCGGCGTGGAGTGACGGCACAGCGGACACATTATCCGGGGTTCAGGGCTCTCCGCGGACCGCCAGAGCGTCACCAGGCAGCTCTCGCAAAACGTGTGTTTGCAGCACAGCTGTCGAGGACACCGCCGACTGAGGTTGTAAATTCGGTAGCAGATTCCGCACTCCGTTTCTGGAAACATGTTGTCCTGTTGTTTGTTTGTTTGCTTCTCTCTTGTTGCGAACTCTTAAGGTTGGTAGTAAAGTGCCGGTGGTTCATGCTGAGGAGTCTTATATACCTAGTTGGTAAAGGCGGCTCGGATGAAAGTACGTAGGAGGGAGGTGTTTTGGTTTCCTTTCATTCTCGGCCAAACTGACTTCAGCTAGAGGACTAGCATTATTAAACAAGTGATGTCATCGTCTGTAAACACGGTGATGTCATGCATGACTAAACAGAACCAGAAGTTACATCATATTGGCGTACGTGTCTTACTGTAGCCTACGTTTACTTTTTTTTTTAAAGGTTTAACCATATTATAGATATAGTAAATGTTTGTATGGGGAAAACCAAAGCAGGAATTCCCCATGCACTGATTTTGCCAATTATTTTAGATTTAGGAAAAAATTAAACCTGTGCGTGGGTGTCATTGACTTTACTGATATGCAGGGCTATTACGGTAAATCTAGTAAATCAGTGTCAAATGACGCCCGCTTTATTTGAATTCACTCCTGTTTTTAAAGGGGTCATGAACTGAGAAAACAAAATTCCCTTGATCTTTTGACATATAAGAGGTCATTGTAGTATAAAAATATCATGTAAGAACTCAAGAACTCAAAATAACGTTCTTGTTAGTCTAAAAACAGCTTATATTGAAGCCAATCTGCCAGAAAGACTATGGCAAGCCGTTTTGACTTTTATTCATTCTCAGGATATGAATTCTTGATATCAACAATTCAGTTTTCACTAGTTAAAATGCTAATTCTTTAGTGACAATGTTCATTTCTGATATCATGAATGTGATTGTTACTAGTAACAAGAGTCATTTTAGATATCAGAAATTACCCTCCCAATTGTTGATATCAGAAATACATTTTCAGATATCAGAAATGAACATTGTCACTAGTGACAATTAAATTGTTGATTTCAAGAATTAAATAGTTGATATCAGGAATAGACGTCTGTACTAGTAACCACGTGATTATTGATATCAAAAATAAAGGTTTTTACTAGTAAGACATGTATTTCTGATATGTGAAATTACTTCTACATCACTGCCTGTTTAGCCCCGCCCACCGATTCGTGCATGAAGTGTAAATAACGAGAGTGGCAGAAATCAAATGATAAAGACCCCTCCGAAGACAACAAGATGCTGTACGTCTTTGCATTGCCTTCCTTCTGATCCCAACATTAGGAAAGAGTGGATGAAGTTTATTTTTAATGAAGTTCCAGACTGCGTCAGTAAGAACTTGGTCCTTTGTTCACTTAATTTTACTGCAGATTCGTTTACAAACAAGGTACAGTTCGACCTATTAAAACGGAGCAAATTTATGAGGGGTAAAATCGGGACATAAAAAAAGCCTATTCTAAATTGTTTTTTGATGTAAAAATCATGATAACATTATAAGTGTACCTTAGAGAACAATACAAAAAAAAAGCAGTTTATGAGCCCTTTAACAATGCAGTAACAGAAATGAAATATTTAATAAATTCTAAGTAAACAATGTTTTTTGGGGAATTTGTTGTGTTTTAAGATTTAGGTTGACATTAAAACTTGTCAAACTCAGAATTACATCATCTTTTTTTTGTTTGTTTTGCTTGACATTTGTACAGTAAGCCTGTGAAAATATTACATATTTTACAATTACCCTTTTCTAGCTTACCGGAATCCATGCCTTTTTGAAACACCGAGTGCCCCGGTTTTTCTACTGTAGGTTTGGAGGAAACAACTGTTTTATAAAAATAAACAGTGATTACAGCAAGGGAAATACAATACACCCGAGCTGTGCTGCACCTTATTAGCCTAATCCAAACAAAACCACTCTACCCCACTGTGAGATTTCCCAGAATGCACTCGCCTCCTGTTTTCTCCCTCCCCGTCATTCCCTTACTTGGTCTTGGGTGTGCCGCGCTGATTCTAAACTGGCTGTAGCCGGTTGTCCTTTCCTCAGAGTGCTTCCCGCATTCTCTTGTATCTCTCGTAACTTTTTGAACTTTCTTCTTAAGAACACACACTTGTTTACTCTGTTATCTGATACTTTTGTGTTTAGAGCAGAGCAGACTGTATCATGTATAAGTACCGTCTGAAATTTTCTTCTAACATTAGCATTTTTCTCATGTTTATGTCCTGTTATTTCACTTTAATGGCAATGAAAAGAACCTATTACATATAGGAGCCTGATAAAAAATTTTAGAAAAAAAATTCAAATGGCACTTAGAGGCTTTGCATCTGAACTTTTCATATGTGTGTGTGTGTGTGTATACATGTATGTAATAATAGTAATATGAATATCACTAAAATTATAATGTTGTAGAAATGCCTAACAGGATGTAATTGTTGTGTTTCTACCCAGTAAATTCTGTAAGTCCTGATGTTTTATACGTGAACAAGACGAAACAGGAGGAAGTTGAGAAATAAAGTCGACAATGAAAGGAAAAAAAAGGTTGGCTGAGGATGTCGCTGCCAGACATGTTCAACGTGCTGGTAAACCACTCACTACAAAACATGACCCATGACCACAGTCTCATGAGTTATAAATAGAACAAACAGCTCTTAATCATTTACTTACAGTATGCAACAATACCAAAAAGCCAGTTGGTCGTGTCCCATGGATTTTCCATGGATTATGTTACAGTTGTCATTTCAGTGCCACATATTATGTGTCTGTGGAAAAGTAAGTACATTCTATGAAATGTTTTGTCTTTTTTTCTCTGTTTCTTGGCGTAATAATGCCCAAACTGTATTTGAACGGTATTAAGAACTGAATTTTAAATGGCTTTCCAGACACATAAACATTAATCTTTTAATTTTGGCATGATGGTACCATGTTCTTTCATGCTTAAAAGAATAGTTCAGCCAATGATCACCCTCATGATGTTCTAACTTGTGACTGACTTTTTTCTGAGAAAATAATATTTTTAAGAAGGTCAAAAAAACTAAAAACAAAAAAACACTGGGACACTTTTCATATACTCTTTAGAATAAAAAAAATGCATGACAGAATTTCCTTTTTTTTTAATTTTGTGAATGTTGAAAATGAACATTTGCATAATAAAATCATATTGCTTTATTTTTGACACGTGAATTTTATGGAGTGTAGTTATTTAATGATTATTGATATACTATTATAGTTTACTAATATTTTTAAAAAATTTATATTTTTGTTTTTATTTGAAATTTTAGTTAGTTTTAATAATTTTGTTGTATGTTTTTTAACTTTCATTTTAAATTATGATAACTGCACGTACAAAATGTTTTAAATTATGTTTCATTTCTTTGGATATTTAAAGCTAAACTAAATGAAAATAAGAAATGTTGCCTTTGCAACTAGCTGAAATTAAAGTTTTCATATTAAATTTCAGTTAACGTCTATTTTATTTAGAATTTTTAGTTTTAGTTAACCATATTAGCCTTGTGTACATGAAGTTTTACACAGCACTGTACTGTATCAAATTAAAAAGTAAAATTGTGTAAAAGTCCAATTTTGCCTAATTAACAAGTTAAATAACAGTGCAGTGAGACACATCAATGAAAGCATTCTGTAGCAACAATAGCTCTTGTGCTGTTCCCTCTCCTAGTAACCAAGCCATCTCTTGATAATAAATGTCAGTGAAGCAGCTCCCACCCCAGCCATACATAGCATGACATCAGGGGAGGGAAGAGACTGAAAGAAAGAGACAGTGGTAAACGTAAAAAAACGTACACGTGCAGGGTATAAACAGACAGCGTTAAATGGTGACAGAGCTTAGTCAACAGTTTTCCCCCCAAACTTCTCACCTGTGACAAACTGACCCAGCATGGACCCGGCGCTCACGTTTGAAAGGGCACAGAGCATTTCACCTTGAAAAAAAACAGCAGGACTGGAACGGTGAGTGATTCTTTCATCCTTCTTTCACACACTATAAACTGTGGTGCTAATAGAACACCCAGCTCTGGTTCTCTGAATGACAGCAATGGTAAGCCGTCGTATGCAAATACAGAGTTCCCAGACATATGAATATATTTACTTGTCATTTCTATTTCCTTTCCATTTCTTACATAAATATTAAAGTGTAGATTGTTTATGAAAGATTTTCACAGTGTAACTACATGCATTCTTCCTGAAAACAATGATATCATTGTGTAACTCGCATGACCAGATGTTAAGTGGCTTTGTTTAATGTTATGTAGCATATTTCAGTTACATTTGCAAATTGACACTACAAATCACAATAACTTATAAATAAACAATTTTGCATATTGAGATCTGCACTGCTTATATTTTAATAAAAGTTAAAGTCCAAGTTTGCACTCTTACACTAAATATTGTCACTAATTCTATAGAGACCTGCATTGCTAGGCAGCCCCTCCTGTGAGTGATGGTTGCTTTGACTATGCCCACTCGAGAGTTGGATTGAAACTGCAATACTAATAAGAAAACAGACAGCAGGGTTTATTAGAAGTAAAGAGTCTTAATAAACCCTGCTGTATTTGGACCTTTTTTGTATGTGCAGTTATCATAAATTTGTACATATTTCTTGCCCAATTAATGAAAATTGTAAATACAAAGCTTTTGAGACTAAAACACGTGCAGATGAAAGCCAAATCTGATGAAATCATCATAAAATTGTGTTGTTTACAAGCCAAAAGTGGCTCATTTTATATGCAGGTGTAGACATACATTTACTAATCATTATCACAAGATCTATGTGACTTTTCAGGGAGTTTTTGTTGATATTTTGGTGTTGTGCCAAGACCCAGTTTCTCAATATTTTAATGATTTCATACACCGGAATTGCGAGAGTAGCTTGTGAAACTGGGTCAGTTCCGCTTATTTATAAACTAGATGAGACCTGATTAAGCAGGATCTGGCAAATACAAAGTAGTGTTTCATCATTATATGCATGTTTATATGTCAAGTCACCTTTATTTATATAGCACTTTTAACAATACAGATTGTGTCAAAGCAACTGTACAGCATTAATTAGGAAAATATTGTGTTAATGCAAGATGACAATAGTACACACTCAATTTTCAGTTAAAGGCAGTTCATCATTGAATTCAGTGATGTCATCATCCAGCTCAATTCAGTTTAAATAGTATCTTTGCAATCAAGTCAA